GCCACGTGTACCGCAAGACGCTTCAGGCGCTGATCTACCCCATCTCCTGCACCACGCCGCACAACTTCGAGGTGTGGACGGCCACCACGCCTACCTACTGCTACGAGTGCGAGGGGCTCCTGTGGGGCATCGCGCGGCAGGGCATGCGCTGCACCGAGTGTGGCGTCAAGTGCCACGAGAAGTGCCAGGACTTGCTCAACGCTGATTGCCTGCAAAGTGAGGTCCTTCTCGTCTAAGATCGTCTCCCTCCATTGCATAACTTCATTCCCACACCATCTTTTGCTGTCCCGCCCACACTGAAACAATCCTCTTCAGTTTTTCTTCTGCTAAATTAAGAACCCACTTTACCACCTTGAATATCTTCCCCGTGTCTGTGGTGCCGCCATGTGTCGCTTATGAAGCTCCCGCTTCCTGATTCACATCCAAAAGTGCGAAGAGCTTTCTTGGCATGTTTCAACCCTGTGAACGCTGGCAGGCATTAATATTGCGCAATCTGTTCAGCGAAGTAACACAAGATGAATAGCAAAAACGAGGCCGTATCTTTCTAATGCATGCCGGTAATTTGTTCGTCTTTCATTTGCATCAACCGCATTGATTCCTCATCAAAACCACAAGAGGCAAGGAGAATGTCAGACACACAGTGGACTTATGTCCCTTTTATGCAAAGCACCGTATTTCTTCAGCTTCTCCGCTCCATTTTTGTCTCTCTCAGGGGCAGCGGAGAAGAGCTCCAAGCACGGGGCAGAGGACCGGACCCAGAATATCATCATGGTGCTGAAAGACCGCATGAAGATCCGAGAGCGGAACAAGCCGGAGATCTTCGAGATGATCCAGGAGGTCTTCACCGTGGTCAAGGCCACCCACGTCACGCAGATGAAGCAGATCAAGCAGAGCGTGTTGGACGGTACCTCCAAGTGGTCGGCTAAGATCAGCATCACAGGTAGGGAGACTCAGGCACAGAAACCCATGTAAACATGTTTTCTGTATCTTCACAGCCTCCTTTTCATTGTACCTGGTTTTAAATACTCAAAAGCAGATGATAATATCATTCAATACTTTGCCCTTTCAACACTTTTTGTTCCTTTATGTTCATGGTAGATGTGACTTATGAACTGTAACATTGTGGGTGCAGACTTCAGTCTGCTACCCTATACAGGCCAACGTGGAGATCTGACTCATTGATGGACGTTGGCTTTGCCCTTGATCACAGGTTACGCCTTGCTTTTTAGCAAGCAGGCCCGGTAAGGTCAGCGTACCCTGGGGGCTTGGCCACCCGGTGACCTTGGATCTCCAGAGGTCAATGTACCCTGGGGGCTTGGCCACCCGATGACCTTTGATCTCCAGATGTCTTTTTTTCTCCCTACTTGGGGAGTTTTTGGTTCCTCTCATCTGTTATATCTCTTTCTTTCTTTTTTTCATTCATTCATTCTTTCTCTTCTTTTCTTTGTCCTTCTTTTTTCCCAGTTTTTTGTATTTCTCTGTCTTAATGATGTTGTAATGTACCCCAACACACCCCTGTAAAGCACCTTGGGGTTTACTCTGTTGTGAAAGGCGCTATATAACAATAAATTGAATTCATTTGAATTTTAATTGGTCGTAAATGTAATTGGGTGACGAGTGGGTTCTAGAACCTCAAGCAGGTAAAGGAAACCAACTGCCAGGATCCCAAAGAATGAAGGAGACTCCTCATGATATAAAATCACCTCCTACATTTGCAGGTGCATCAATTAATGTATCACTCTCCACAGTTCTGTGTGCCCAGGGTCTCCAGGCGAAGGACAAAACAGGCTCTAGTGACCCCTATGTCACCGTCCAAGTCGGGAAGACCAAAAAGAGAACCAAGACTATCTATGGCAATCTGAATCCCGTGTGGGACGAGAACTTCCATTTGTGAGTATGGCAGAGCATCGAGTTTAAGTGCATCCATTGCAGCTTCAGATTTCTCCCACCCTCTGACTGTATGCCTGACAGTTAAAGGTTACTCAGCCTATCTGCTATACTGACCTCCAGAAAACTGCCCCTCCTGCAAGTATCTATCCAAATAAAGAAAGACCAGCATTGGGCCACAAGAAACCACCAGAATAGCCTCTGCACCTTGGCATTCGTTCTGCAACTGTCCACAATTGTGCTTGAGGGACGTGAGACCCTTCCTCCAAGTGGGTGGCAGTGAAAAACCCTGCCAGATAGAGATCCAGAACCCCCCTTAATGTCTAATCAAGCCGTTCAGTGCCAATCTTCTCTGCCCTGTGAATGGAGAAGTCTTCATTCTCAAATGTTCCTCTCCTACACTGTCAGAATAAAGGGTACAGCCCCGGTGGAGTTTGTTCCAAGAGGTACAAACATCATTAATTTACCCCTAATGGTATAAAAATGTTCCTCAGAGCGGCTGAGTGGCCCAAACCCTGACACATTACATCGGTAAACATTTTGGCTGGTTATGGGATGGTGTCAGACAGGGTCCTCATCCATTGTTGGAAACTGATGACTCAGTAGTCCACTGCTCAGAGTCTGTGCTCCATTTTACTCCTAAGTGTAATCTCTGGGTATAATAAGGATTCTAAAGACCCTGAACATAGTATTACTCTCTGTGAAGACTGAACCTGGGGAAACCACCTGCTCACATTTCAGATTGACATTTTCAGTCATTTTATTTGGAAATTCACATCAGAATTGCCTTTGTAATTACCATTATATCTGGTATCAGTATTCCTCTAAGATATATAAAGAGCCTCAGAATGTCTGTTAAATTGTGGAGTTAATGGTTCTACCTCAAAGAGCCATAAAAAAATCAGTCTGCTGCCAGACACATCATAGAGTGCGTGTTTCTGTACCCCAAAGCGAATGCCACAACTCATCAGACCGCATCAAAGTGCGGGTTTGGGATGAGGATGACGACATCAAGTCCCGGGTCAAGCAGAAGTTCAAGAGAGAGTCCGATGACTTCCTGGGGCAGACCATCATTGAGGTGCGCACTCTCAGCGGGGAGATGGACGTGTGGTACAACTTGGGTAAGTCCAGACTGCATCAGAGATGAAAAGCCTTCAGAGTGCATAATGAATTTTCTCCCCAGAATGCTGGCAGGAAATGTACAGAAACCTTTGAATATTTCGGACACCGGAGGAACTCAAAAACGATGTAGTTTCCCGACACAAAAAGGTTTCACAACGCTATTGCGGTGAAGTGGTTCGTTACTCTTAAATGCGAGTGATGCTGTGAGCGTAGGGCAGTAACGTTTTCCACCACAACTGTAGCAGTCATGCAACGGAAAAGTCAGACGTAATGATGGTGCTGTCTTTGGTCACACCGTTCAGACAAACGCACAGACAAGTCTGCAGTATCTGGGGCCATTCGGATGCACATCAGTGTCGAGATCAAGGGGGAGGAGACAGTGGCTCCGTACCACGTCCAGTACACCTGTCTCCATGAGGTGAGTCCCGCATTACTGCTGAAGTCACTCCTGCTCACTGAATGGCTTCACCTCATTGTGACCAACCAATTACGCACATCACTCCAATCAAAAAACTTCACCCAAGTAAAAATTGAGCTGTTTTTTCCCTTGAATTAGCTTATTTCTTGCCCACTATGCTATTCAAATTTATTGCAAGTGAAATGCGGATTTTTCTGCCGCTACGAAGTTTGTTTCTGTGCCTTTTTTTCGAACCTGATGCCAGCCACAGGGTTTTCTTGCTTTCACACCTCCAGCCGACTTTCATATGACCCAGAAGGGAATGAGGTAATGAGTGACAGACAGTCGGCTCTCACACTAGCTAGTGGTAGCAGCCGGTGCTCTCTCACCACCTGGCGCCGTCGCCGCCCCGCGGACGTCGCCGTTCTCGTTCTTGCCCGCGCGCTCGGTCAGCCGGTCGATGATGGCCGCGGCCTGTTCCGGCAGCACCTGTTCCACTACGTGACCGACGTTCAGAACAACGGCGTGGTGAAGATCCCGGATGCCAAGGGTGACGACGCCTGGAAGGTATACTATGAGGAAACGCCGCAGGAGATCGTCGATGAGTTCGCAATGCGCTACGGCGTGGAGTCCATCTACCAGGCCATGACGTAAGCCCTCGGATGCAGCCCGAACATCCTGCAACCTTCTGTGAATGCAAATCACCGGCATTTTACTCCTTGCCTTATAACAGTTATGGTAACTGACTATGTCCTTAAGCACAGGACAGCAAAACTGCAATAATATATGTAAGCTATAATATGTGAGCAGTAATAATTAACTAGTTGTATAATTGTAATGGGTTTATTGGCTATCCCCTTAATAGGCAGAGATAGAGTCCTCTATTAATGTTAGAGATGATGCATTAAAAGTTACTACGAGAATAGCAAGTCGTAAGTGTAAGTTTTATGTGGCATCTGTTCTTTGGGGGGGTGACACTGTGCTTTGTAGTAAGTGTTCAGACACACCATCACAGCCGCCCGTAGAGGAATCAATCAGACCATGACATCGTCTCTTCAGTCGTTTGCTTAGCTATGCCCTAACATGATTACTCTGAGAATGTGACGAGCATTTCAACACCGTGTCAGTGTAACTCGGAGACCTGTTGTTAAAATGTAACATGGAAGGGAGTCATATGACGCGGTGTGTGGCGAGAATGAAGCCTGTCAGCGCGGGATCAGAGTCATCTGTGGATTTGAGTCGCACATGCACTGCCAGTCTGCTTTTGCAGTGTTAAACTATTAAAGTATTAAACTATTCAGGTAATAAAGGACTTTGGACCATCTGCCAAACCTGCACCCTTACCAAATATAGAAAGTTATGGTCCATCTCATGTATTTGCATACATTTTCATATGATAGCTGGTTCCCTGGGGCGGCATGGCGGTGCAGTGGTCAGCACAGTCGCCTCACTCCTCTGAGACCAGCGTTCAGGCCTCCATGTGTGCAGTTTGCATGTTCTTCCCGAGGCATCGTGGGGTTTCCTCTGGGTGCTCCGGTTTCCCCCTCAGTCCCGAAACATGCTGAGGTTAGTTGGAGCTACCAAACTGCCCATAGGTGTGCATGTGTGAGTGAATGGCGTCTAGGTGGGTGCCCTGTGATGGGTTGGTGCCCCACCCTGGGTTGTTCCCTGCCCTGCACCCATAGCTTCAGGGATAGGTTCTGGACCCCTGAATAGGACAAGCATTTGCAGAAAATGAATGCAATTGTCTGTATTGCTACTGGCAAAGCCCCTCACATACTTTTTTTGCTTTTAGTTAGTTATTAGTTTCAGTTATTTTTTAGTTAGTTTATAGTTGCTTTTGTATTTGGCTTTGCAATGCTGCCACATGCGCGACTCGCATACCCGGCTGAGCCTGATCCTGCAGTGACGAGCCCCAGTGTCTGGCTCCGCGGGGGCTAACCAGCGCCCCCTGTGTCCTGCACCCGGCTTCAGCCACTTCGCCTGCCTGTCATCAAAGTACATGTGTCCCGGCGTGCCGGCGGTGATGAGCACCCTGCTGGCCAACATCAACGCCTACTATGCTCACACCACCCAGGCCACCAACAACGTCTCCGCCTCCGACCGCTTCGCCGCCTCCAACTTCGGGGTGAGTTTCTGCATGGATCCACGCTGCCCGTGGAATTCGCAAGGCAGAGCATGCGAGAGAGACACCCCCCCCCCACCACCACCCTCCAATGCAAGCAGAAGCCAGGCCAAGTCTCGCATGTTTACTAGGCGCTGGGTGTCGCATCGCGGATAGCGGGTTTAAAAGTTGTGTGGGCTGCCGCTGTGTTTAAAATACATAGCTAGGAGTGAATCATAGACACTGACCTTCCTCTTGCATTCATTATTTAAGGAGTGCGCTTCTGGAAAATACCAGCTCAGAATTGCTCAATGTTTCAAGCTCCAATGTTTTTATCTTAACCCCGTCTGTGTATTTGGTCGTGTCTGATATGTCCACAGAAAGAGCGCTTTGTCAAGCTACTGGACCAGCTGCACAACTCTCTGCGCATCGACCTCTCCATGTACCGGGTATCGTTATTCACTCCTATACATTAATTATTATTTATCAGCCTTTAGAGGGCCGAGGTCCACATTACAGTTAAATCCTTCCCTTTACGTCTACAATGATATCTGCATACAAATTTAACAGTATTAAACATAGGCTGCTGAATTCATTTGCCCGCAGTAATCTTGGATGCTGTCAGTCTGACGAATGACCATAGTTTAGTGTGGGCGGTAATGACTGGCGATGCAGATTTTTTGGCAGACGTCTCAAGGCGCAGCCTCCTGACCTGCGCGCCTGTCTGTCTGTATGCCTGTGCTTGCCTGTGCGTGTTGGTGTATAGAACAACTTCCCCGCCAGCAGTACTGAGAGACTGCAGGATCTGAAATCCACAGTGGACCTGCTTACTAGTATCACTTTCTTCAGAATGAAGGTATCATTTTCTCTTTTCCTTCCATTCTTGCCCAAATTTAGCGTTTTTCTTTTTTTTTTTAGCTGCTCTCCTTGTCCGGTCTCCTACTTTGTTTAAATTGCTCCCTTTGCTTTTCACGTTTTCCTTAATTGCACCTTTCTTATTTAATTCCCGGTTTAGTTATTTATTAGGTCACGCCAGAGCTCCCCATGTTTTCAGAGACTTAAATCAATGCTTGTCCCAGGTCCAGGAGCTGCAGAGTCCACCTCGAGCCAGCCAGGTAGTGAAGGACTGCGTGAAGGCCTGCCTGAACTCCACCTACGAGTACATCTTCAACAACTGCCATGAGCTCTACAGCCGCGAGTATCAGACTGACCCGGTCAGTTGGATATGTGGGACACTTGTTCGCCTGCTGTCCAAGCTGTGCAAGAAATGTCTTTAAATGTTAATCTGTCAAAAAGGGATTTCTGTATGTTATTTCCTTAATTTGTATTTCGTAATAATAACTTGGAATTCTTGACTTCTATCACTGTGATATGCTGGTGTCTCCAGAACAAAAAGGGGGAAGTTCCTCCAGAAGAACAAGGTCCCAGCATCAAGAACCTGGACTTCTGGTCCAAACTCATCACCCTTATTGTGTCCATTATAGAGGAGGACAAAAACTCCTATACCCCTTGTCTCAACCAGTAAGTAATACGCTCCCAGTTTGTACACAGGATAATCCTCCTTGTTCAAGTAGTCTGTGAACACTACTCATGATCTGGCCTACCACCTCCTCAGGTTCCCTCAGGAACTGAACGTAGGGAAGATCAGCGCAGAGGTGATGTGGAACCTGTTTGCTCAGGACATGAAGTATGCTATGGAGGGTGAGTCTACCACCTTCGATTTCTGTCTTTACAGCCGATAGTTCCTTGGGCACAAGGCTGCCCAAAAGCAAGGGTTTATGTGTAGCATCCGGTTTAGAAAATGTCCCAAGACGGCTGATTCTTAATGGGCAATATTTCAAAGAATGTTAATTGAAAGCTCTGCCTTTTATCCTCCCTTCTCAGAGCATGACAAGAACCGCTTGTGTAAGAGTGCCGACTACATGAACCTACACTTCAAGGTGAAGTGGCTGTACAATGAATATTGCAAAGACCTGCCTTTCTTCAAGAGCCGCGTCCCAGAATACCCAGCGTGAGTACAGCAACACACCCCATAGTATATGTGTGTCGTGCACTGCAGTGTAGCAGCCAACATGTAAAGTTCAGCTCAACGGAGGCCTGTCAGACACTGAAGCCCACCAACGCATTCAACACTTCATACAATTGATACGATTAACAATGGTAGACAAGCGTTAGCCTTGTAGCAATACAAGATAATTGTATGTTATTATTTAAATCAAGCCTGTGCTGACATGAGTGGCAATGTGCTTCTGTGGTATTTATAGGTGGTTCGAGCCATTTGTGATTCAGTGGCTGGATGAGAACGAGGAAGTCTCAAGGGACTTCTTGCACGGTGCCTTGGAGCGAGACAAAAAGGATGGCGTGAGTTTGAGTCGCTTTTATCTCTACCCTCTACCTCTTTCTCTTCCTCTCTCTTCATGAAATCGCTGTAATTGCTCGACTGAAAAACTGGGCAGAGACAAGAATGCCCCCTAGCTGTGTAACACAGTGGTGCGCTCTGCACTGGAGAGCACCAGGATAGACTGGAAGGAAGATTCTAAACTGTGTGGCAGGGCTAGAAAGTCTGGAACCTTGTGGAGTCTTGCGTGATCAAACATGCATGGGAGGCTTTAGGTCCGTGAGCCCAGGTGGGCAGGAAACGGCCATCTGCAGCTCACTAGGGCCGTCGCTGTAGAGAATTAATGAGGTAATTCTCAAAATCTCTGAAAGGGAGGGCGGCTAATAAGAGCTGTTCGCGATTCATTAGCTAAGGTCTCCTCTGGGAGTGTCCTTAGACTTTTCCCCGAACCAATTACTGCCATGCTGGACAACTACCACCTGGCTGTCTTGGTCTGTAAACGGCCCTTGTAGTCTCTCTTTCCGTTCCCTTTGTCCTTTTGTATCTGTCAAGCTTAAAATTCATCTCCATCTATCTCTCTGCACCTGCAGTTCCAGCAGACCTCTGAGCACGCCCTCTTCTCCTGCTCTGTGGTGGATGTCTTCTCTCAACTCAACCAGAGCTTCGAGATCATCAAGAAGTTAGAGTGCCCTGATCCTCAGATCGTGGGTCATTACATGAAGAGGTTTGCAAAGGTATCACTCATGTAGTGTTTCAGCATATGCACATCCTGAACTAACAACACTTAGCCTGTTGCTGATTTCTGTATTCCTTTTCTTACTGACATTACAGCATTTGATGTGTACTTATAGTAGTAGTCAAAAGTCTGGACATACCTACTGAAAATCATTGGTTTTTCAACAAGATCCTAGACACACTTTGAGGTTATGTAGTAAGTATTAGGATAGAGATGGAGTGCTGCGACAGATGACCTGGCCCCCACAATCCCCCCCCCCCAACCCTATCCTGAGTTGGCTTAAGGAGTAAGAGCGAGGTAGCCAACTTGTGCCCAGAACTTGTGGAAACTCCTGCAGGAATGTTGGAGAAGTATTCCAGGTGGCTACATCTGCAAGCTGGCTGAAAGAATGTCAAGAGCCTGCAATGCTGTCATCGAAGCAAAAGGAGGCTGTCTAAAATTTGAGAAAATCTTGAGTTGTTGGTCACTTCCCTTAGTCTTTGCGATATTTGATATGTGTTACTTCATTGCCTCCCAGCCTTTTACCTATAAGGTGAATAACAGCTAAAATAGAGACAAATGCTTTAAAAATAGGTTTGTCCAGACTTTTAACTGGTAATGTAAATACCTCTGACTGATTCTGTATATTTGTTGATGTATTAGTTGATGAGATGTAAATTTACTACATTCGCACAGAAAACTTTGCACTCTGGTCCTCGGTCCATATTCTTCAGTTCTACTTCTTTTTCTCCTTCAGACTATCAGCAACGTTCTCCTGTCCTACGCCGACATTATTGCTAAGGACTTTGCCAATTACTGTTCCAAAGAGAAAGTGGTAAGTCTTGCTGCCTATTTTGAGGAGGTGTTCAATTAGTGAATGTGAGTTCAAAGTTTTTATGAAGGCTGAAATTAAATATCTTTCAAGTCATTTATTTTTTAGATCAGCACTTCTTTAAGTGAGTAATTTGTAGTCAGTTTTGGCATATAATTTGTTGATTGATGTCTCTTTAAAAGCTATTTGAATGAATTTCTTCAAATTTCATTGAAATCCCGGGGCCAGGGATGGAAATATTCAGCTCTTAACTCTCTTCCTGAGCTGAACTGAAAGATGCTTCAAAACATCGTGGATACTATGTGTATAACCTGAAATCAAATGGTAGAAAATATTAAATGGTAATATCCCTGGTGGGTGTGGATTCCACGTGTACATGAATTCCGTCTTTGCAGCCCTGCATCCTCATCAACAACATTCAGCAGTTACGAGTCCAGCTTGAGAAGATGTTCGAGGCCATGGGGGGGAAAGACGTGAGTGGGTTTGCTGAGGTCCGCTCGTCCTTGCCTTCGGTTCCAGCGGGAGCCGGTATTTCCCTGCATGCCTCGCTGCTCCCTCTGCCGCTGTGACCTTCACGCTCGCGTGCCGCCGTACCTCCATGCGAAATCTCCCCCACCTAACTGGCTGTCTTTCGTAGCTTAACGTGGAGGCCAGCGATATCCTGAAGGAGCTACAGGTAAAGCTCAACAACGTTCTGGATGACCTCAGCAGGGTTTTTGCCACCAGGTGAGTGTTCAGGATGCCCAGGTCTTTGCTTGGATAAGTACTCAGTAAGAACACTTATGTACGATAGGTAGTTGCTTGAGTGTCAGTAATGACCTCCCACATTCAGTGTGGCGTGCTTAGAACATCTGGCATTGAAGTCATGTGGTTTTTAAGGGACAGAATCCACTAAAGCAGTTGTCTCGTGGGTTTGGTTAGTTTCCAGCCGCACATAGAGGAGTGTGTGAAGCAGATGGGTGACATCCTGAGCCAGGTGAAGGGCACAGGCAATGTGCCAGCCAGCGCCTGTAGCAGTGTCGCCCAGGACGCCGACAACGTGCTGCAGCCTATCATGGACTTCCTGGACAGCAAGTGAGTCTTCTCACGTCTAGAGCTGGAAGTAATATGGATGAAGTTCTGACTGACTGGCTGAGGTTCAAAACACAACTGTAGGGTAATGTCTATGGCTGGGGTTTACGTTTGGGATCTAAGCTGTTTCATTTGGTGGTTGTTGGCCGTGGTTAGGAGGGATTTGATCGTTCGGGCTTGGGGGTGCCGCTGGTCCCTTTAGACACGTGCAAGCCATCGGTTGTCAGCTGCCAATCCGTAGGCAGTAGTCTCTCGTCCCAAAGTAGCTGGTGTACTTGCCGCACGTGGGAGGACTCGTGGGAACAATGCTACATTGTCATTGGCTTGGAGTACGCTGCAGGAATTAGTCCTGCTGTCAAGAAGCAAGTGTTGATCCCTCCATTAAGATACCACGCAGGGAACTGAAGCGGAGACGGGCTGACGGTAGGGTGTCCGAGTCGGGTTGGTTTGTTTAGTTGTGTAGGGATTGGTGAGAGGTTCCCCTGCCTGATGTTGTATGACAAAAGGAAACCGATATCTATGGAGGTGGATCAAAGGAACCCGGAACAGTCATCCCCGGCATTGTGGCAGGCAGCGAATCCTCGCTGACAGTCATGTCTGACACAGACTCTCAACATGAGTAAGCGGAGACTAGAATTTGGGGATTTTCTTAGCTATGCATACTTTGCAGGTAAAAACAGCTTTCTTTGTGCCTGATATTGATCTCATACCGGTATATGTAACAGAACGTGTCTCCACATACATGCAATGCATCGCCACTGTCCAACGAAATCCATGTTTGTCCACTTTTTGATGACTATGACTTTTTACTATAGATGGGATTCTCCTCTGTCTAGTGATAGCATTTGACCAATGAAAAGATGTTTAACTAGTATTTAGGTTTGCACTAGTCGATGTTCATATTCATGAGGGTCATTTGTGTGGGTTGCTTTATATCCTCCTGAGGCCCAAGGAAAAAAATGTCCTTCAATTATAGGTTATTTGTCTTTGGAGGAAATAAGACATCTTACAATATAGATTTAAAAAAAATAATAATATATTTTTAATTTCACAGCATGTCCTCTTTAGTGTACAAAAGGAATAAATATGTTTCCTTACATCAGTGAAAAAATAGATGCAAAAACAACATGTCCACTACAATGGACATAAATGAATGGGTGGGATCTCAGGAGGATGCTGCTAATTTTAACAACTTAACGGTGATAGCTAAATATCTAGCTAATGAACGTCAATGTTAACAGTGAATATAAAGCAAGATTAGTTAATACTTGACATATTTCCCAAACACTCCAAATAAGCCCATTTAAAATATTAAACACTGATGGCTGTGTAGGTTTCTACTTTTAGTGCTATGGGTGTATCATTGCGTGGCTTTAAGTTTTACAAAGTAGCCTTTGAGAACATGTGTTTTTTCCACTCTCCTGAAATAATGGAATTTTAGAGGTTTTGGATTTAGCTAACCATAGCTGAGATACGTGGTCTCTCTGTCTCCGTCACCCAGCCTGACGCTGTTTGCTAAGATCTGTGAGAAGACCGTGCTGAAGCGAGTACTGAAGGAGCTGTGGAAGCTGGTGATGAACACCATGGAGAAAACCATCGTGCTGCCGCCTCTGACCGACCAAACGGTTAGTGCCGCCCAGTGTCCCAGGACACTCTTGCACATACGGGACTCGCATCCCGTCTCAGACTCCGTTAGAGCGCCGCAAACTGCACTGCAGCCGCACGCTGCCGCTCAGGGTCTGGCGCAGACGTCGCCGGGAGTCTGCGATGGCTCCTTGGGAAGTGGAAGAGCGACCGGAAGAGGACGGCGCTGTCAGGTCCTGCTGCGGGGGCGTCTGCTCGCACTGGCGAGAATGGGAGTGTCTGACGGAGTCCAGGCTGTATGATTTCCTGCATCTGAACGTCATTGTAGTCCCGCTGAAGGAGGAAAGACCTGCAATACCCCAACCCACTTACCTACCAGCAGAGAACCCTCCAAGTTTCCATTACAAAAGCCATTCTAAGTGAAGCCATTTGGCGACAGACAAGGGAGTGCACCATTCCATTATATCCCTGGCTCGAGTTGTTCTCGAAGCCATAAGTCACAGTTTCTGTCTTGCGAACCCCATTTTGTCTATTCTAAAGTAAACCTTAAATGTAACATTTGCATACGTTTTTGGTTTGGTATTGACCCAGTGTTGAATAACCGGGAGGAAATTGGATAGATTTTTCTTTCAAGTGATGCAGATATTGGTCCACTCAGAACTGTGACTTTTGGTTTGAGCATTATATGTTTGTCCATTTTTATTTTTATATATATATATATATATAAAATTTTATTTTGATATATCTGTCTTTTTATTTGAAAAGAGCCCCATATCCTTCTCTTGGAGAATAGCCAGAAAGAGTTTGAGAGTCTCTTGTTAGCATGGTTCCTCCCCAACAGAGATTCGCTTATATGAAGTCAGTTGGTGGTCAGTCATGTGACCACTAACATCCAACCAAGAGCGACTTGTGGGCTGCAGCAACCGGCAGCTCCAAGGCCAGGCTGAGAGCCGCTCCAGGAGCTTGTGCCACAGCGTAGCCTCGCTGTTGGGCGGCGCAGCTTCCCAATGGCCTCTGGGATTGTTGACTGATGCTGGTTGGCTGATCTGGGGCTCTTTTGCGGCCTGACTGACCCTTCTTTCTGATTATTACATCCTGCGCCCACCGCTCTCCCACCACAGATGATTGTAAGTACGGCACTCCTCTGTGTGTCTGTCTGTCCGCAGTCTGTCAGTGCAGGTGCTCCGTCCTTTGCTGTGTATGGCTGCCAGGCTCCCCTCCTCTCTCCTCCACGTCACGTCTTCTCCCGTCTTCTCCACACGGGCTCAGGTTTCATCCTCCTTGGTTGTTTCTGCATCCTCTGTCCTGGTCTCTATCTGGTCCTCTGTCCTAGCCTCCTCTCTATCTGCAGCAGTAGCATGGTGCATTCCTGACTGACTCTGACCAGGCCTTCCTCCCCCTCTCTCAAGCCCCCGATTGGGTCGTTCCTGCCTCCCACTGCCTCTCTCCCTCTCTCTGTCTCTATCTTACACTCTCTTTTTCGGAAGAGACACTCTTTTGCCACCAATGTTGCCTTGTACTTCTGCACCGTGTCCTGGGACTTCTCTCTGGGTTACTTCAGCACTGTTGTTTAATATATATTGCCCCTCCCCTCCCCTCTTCTCCGCCTCCTCCTCCACCCTGCCCTTGTTTGAATTGTCCCCCGTGTGGATCCGTTGCTTGCGTGTGGACTACTTAATCCACTGTAGTCTGCACTTCATGTTGATACAGGCCTGCTGTGTTTGCCTGTCTTGGTATGGTTCCATGTTTTTACGTTCGAGAAACCTTTCTTTGATTTATTTTCTTTGACCAAGTGGGAAGGCTAAGCTTTAATAATGCTGTACATTATCATCAAGGCCGTTCTCTGTTGTCTTACCCCTGTTTGGATTAATCTTAATGAAGAGCTGAGTATAGCTGGTGTTTACTCAGCACTCGCTGTATACCCTCCTACTCTCAGTGGACTGCATGGTAAACAGCCTGTGTAAATTGATACACAAATGCAACGTCTTATGTTGGTGTAAATGCACTCACACATGCACTCACAGATGCACACATTGTTATAACTCACCGTTCCAACACAGATGCTAATTAAAAAGTCTAGTTGCTCACTTTTATCTTCATTTTTCAGAAAAATCTAATAATTTGGTTACTTCCTTTAAAATTCCGCAGATTAACTTTAAAGGTTCTTTACATTAACTGTACCTTCATAATGCCTTTATAATGCATTTATAGAACATTATGCCTTAACAGCTTTAATATACATTAATAACAAGCATTATATGATTATGCTGTTATAATGTTTGTTATCATATAATGTTTATTATTGTGTATTACAGCTGTTACGGTATGTTAGGATATTAAGATATACTTTCCTGCTGCTCAAGAATGTTCCACGAATGCATTATGAAAGTGCAATTAATGTAAAGCTTTACTGGTTATCGTTATGATTATGCTGTTTGATTGGATTTTCTACAAACTGGATTTGTAAAAGATGTTTTTTGGTAACACTTTACTTAAGGTCATGCTTTTAGTTATTTACAAACACAATCAAATACATTCATAAAGCGTTATAAAAATGGCTATAAATATTTAGAAAAATAACGTAACATATTATAGCCATTGTATTATGCATTATGAAGCTGTCATCTGTAATGCACAACAGATACCTTTTTAATGCATTATAATGGTTGGTATGAGCATTAAGGATGCTTTGTACTGCATTATAAAGGTATCTATAGTGCATTATATATGAGAGATTCACAGAGCAGTCATAATGCATAATAAACATGACTATAATGTGTTATGTCTTTTCATAAATATTTATAGCCATGTTTATAATGCTTTATGAATACATTATTATATGTTAAGAATGTGTTTATAAATTATTAATTAAAGCATGGCCTTAAGTAAAGTTTTTGTTTTTACTATATCTCCATAAGGATTGCCAGATTGCCAGATCTTCCATCTCCCCAGGCAGACTGAGTGTACATTCCCTGCATCTCAATCAGCCGACCTGCTGGGTGTCATTGGTGTGATTTGGAGTACAGGCTCCATATTCTAACATGAAGACATACGCAGCAATGATCACTGCACTAGTGACAATCATTTTTGTGTTTTTTCTTTTCATGTCAGAATGTTTTTTTTTTTGCACGGGGGACTTAACTTTGGGCCATTCGATTTAAAAATAACAAAATCAGTATCCACCTTTCTGATATGTCGAATAAATTGTGATGAGTTCATTAGTTTGGTATGTACCGTACCTTTTATTTAAATGAGCAGGGCTGATTGGCTGTGACAGATAGGTTGCGATGTTTCAATAGGTTACATCGTCATCCAATCAGACCCTGGGGGAGTGGCTTTTCCTGCATCGTTAACAACTATCCTCTCTTTGCAGGGCAGGGTGAAGCTTGCTTGTCACAGTGATGTAAGAATTAAAACACTTCAGATCAATGTGTCCTGTCCCTCTTTTTCTCTCTCTCTCCGTCTCTTCACTTTGTGTTACTTGGCTCTTCATCGAAACAAATGGGTGGATGCAGCTCTTGCTCACCTTTGTTTTTAGATGGTGTAGTCCTGCCACTCTGTTGTGCCTCTTCTCAGTTAGCTGCCTGTCTGCCTGCCCCACACCCCCGGCACATCAAACACGTAACGTCTGACCTTAGCATTAAGAACACAGAACACACAGGTGACACGCACACACAGACTGTGTTGAGACTAGTCCAGCGTTTCTCAACCCAGTCCAAGGGGACCCCCACACAATTCTCATTTTTGATCTCTTCCAGCTCCCAGCCAATCAAAAACACTGAATACCTGGTACAGGTGTGTTGGGAGTTGTGAAGGAGCAGAAATGTACACTGTTACGGGGTCCCCGAGGAATGAATTTAGAAACACTGGGCTAGTTGCTACTAATGACCATTCTGACAGCTTGCTATGATCCTTGGATCCACATCGATTGTTCTTCATGGATTTGGAACTCACTATGTCTAAAAGTGGATGTTTAATCTAGGATGTTTGTTACTGATTGGATAGGGCATTTTTCTTTTCTTTTTTTTCACCAGCATGTTGTAATTGACTCTTAGGAACTTGTTCATTCGTCGTTATATCCTGTTAAAAGGTTTCCAGAGTCTCGTGTACATGATGAGTCTCGTAGTCCCATCACTTAGGGCATGGGGGTCACCGGTCGCTGAGACCTGTGACTTTCTGTCTCTCTCTGTTGAGTTTGTTTCCATGCCGTGACTTCCGTCTGCGCTGCCTTGCTACGTGTGTGTGCATCTCTGGAAGACAGGGAGGTCCCTGCGCTGTGGGTCATGAGGATTGAGAGCATGCAGGCGTGCATGTTTGTGCGCACACGGAGTTCTGCGCGTGTCGTGGTGGTATCTAACCTCCTCTGACCTCTCAGTCTGTGGCTGCCCTCTTTATTGTGATTTGTAGACGTGCTGCAAGATCCTGTGATAATAATACAGCCTCTCTTCCTTTCTCCTCCTCCCTGTCCACCTCTGTCATATTCACACCAACCAGGGAACCCAGCTCATCTTCAACGCTGCTAAGGAGTTGGGGCAACTCTCCAAGCTAAAGGTATGGCTGAGAGTTAGCGGTTGAGTCATTTTGGGGCTTGTGCTCCTCCCAAAGACCATAGGAAATGCGATTGGTTGCACTCTTAACGTTCTGCTGTCTTTTCCCAGGAGCACATGGTGCGTGAGGAGGCCAAAGCACTGTCCCCCAAGCAGTGTGCCGTGGTGGAACTGGCCCTGGATACTATCAAGGTACTCCACCACGTCCCTTCCTGTCAGGACTCTTCCGGTCTTATATCCCGATGTCACAAAGGAGCCAACAGTTGCATGCTTGATATCACAGGCACACAGTGGGTGTTTCTCAATACCAAGAATGCAAAGATCGTACTCGTGCTCTCGGCAAGAGTGGTCCTGCTAACTTCCCTCCCCAGAATGAACTTAGGACGCAATGAATCATGGGATTGTTCTCATTTGGCGAGGATGCACCAGATGCATCCTTGCTATCTGGGGCGAGGCGAGAACGACATCTGGGGTCTTCTGTACCTCCGTTCTTAGTATCAGAACTGGTCTCCAGCAGTGGATGATGACGTAAAATGGGTACGAGAGAACACAGATACGGTGAAGTGCACGTATTGAGAAACACCCAGTGATTGTGTATCTCCATTCAAGCTCAAGTTATTTGCTTTATACACAGATAAACATGTTTTGACGGGTAGATTTTGAATATAATGGCAGCAAATAAATTCTGATGTCTTTTGGTCAATTGAGTCTAGTGAGTAATTCTGACATGCAGTAAAAGGTTTTTGCCTTTTGCCTAATGGTATCCTCCAGTGTCGCATCACTCATCTGTGAAGGTTTGGCCGCGTCATACGGCCCTGACTGTGCCAGTCTGACAGATGTCATTATTGTACCTCTTCTCCTAGCAATACTTCCATGCAGGCGGAGTGGGACTGAAGAAGACCTTCCTGGAGAAGAGCCCAGACCTGCAGTCCTTGCACTACGCCCTCTCCCTCTATACTCAGGCCACAGACAAGCTCATCAAGACCTTCGTCCAATCACAGAATGCACAGAGTACGCCCCCCCTCCTCCATCATCCTCCTCAGCCCCTAACCCCTTTGTTTATCCGCCTTTGATCTCCTCGGCCTTCACATCCGAACCCACGCTCTGATAGGCCCCTGTCCTCACTATATCTTCTCATTATTCCACAAGCTGCTTCTTTTTAAAAAAAAGCATATGGTTTATCTTTTATTAATGTTTGTAGAGCGGAAATTTGGCCCATGCTGGACTTTCAGGCTCTTCATAGTCCTAGGCCCTATTTAATAATGACAGAACTGAGAATTTTCCGTTACAGCCTTTTCTCGTTAATCCAGCTCAGCTGTTATCAGCTCCCAGCTGTAGTAGTGCTGATGCGGTACTGATATCCCAGAGCCCTCCTGTGCCTTTATATAAGTACGCAAACCTCAGTAAAGGAAGCCGAGAGGGTTTATTTTCCACATTGCACAGTTAGTCAGTGTCTTTGACACATGCAGGTGAGTTTCCTTCACACTGCGCGGTTTCCATAGAAGAGGGAGCTGAGGGATCTGGGAGTCTGGGCTGTCTTCTAACTGCCCTTTTTTCTGATTCTGCTCCTTTCCTTTTTTGTCTTCTGTTTCTGCTCTTTTTTTCTCCCCTTCTCTTCTTTCCCTCCCATTCCCCCGTCTCTCCGCTAGTTCACGGAGGGAAAGGGGTCAGATACACCCTTTCCGAGGATACGTACCCGGAGAAGGGTACGTGTGTCCGCGGGGCCTGCAGGCCCATATTAGCCGGACTTCCAAGAACAAAGCTGCCCGTTGGCATTGAAAGCGATCGCGCACACACACACACACACACACACACAGCATATGGCTTGATGTGTGTGTTGTGTACACACATGCATGTACGAACCGCTGCGTTTGTGGACATACATATGTGTGTATGTATGGGAGTTCTGAACCCTCAGAGGCGTGACCGGACGTCACCTCTGAGACATCAGAGAACGCCAGTTGGGTGTGGGGGCGCGGCCCGCTGATGTTCCGCATACGCCTCCGTTGTGGGGCTCGGTAGCGGACATTCTTATGCCTGTGCGTGCACATGACTGACTGAGTGAGCGATTGGGTGAGTATCTGCGCTTATTTCTGTCGCGACGGGCTAAGAATGTAAGGGTCTCACTTCTTTTTTGCTTGGTCTTTATGAATGTTGGATGGAAACGATGGCTGGCTCAGTTTGTCTGCAGGGGGCGCCCCTTTGTCACTCCTGGGTAGCCTCTTTGGGGCTAACATCCCCCTTCCACAGTCGATTTCCCCTCCCCGTGCAGTCAGGAACCATGCATTCATTCCCTTTCGCATCATATGGGCGTGGCCAATGGCATCACCCTAAGAGGATCATCCAATCCCACATATTCCCATCAGCCCTATTTTTTCCCTATAGGAGTCACTGTTTAAAATAGGACACCACCTGGTGTTCCCGTATTTCAGATCTATTCTTGTAAAAACCTGTACTTCTAGTTTGTAGCTTGCAGTGACCCGATTTTCTCAGTCGTAACCCGAGTGAGATTCTTCTGCAGTGTTTGTTACACTCTGTATAGCTGCCAGACCGTGTTTGCATTACCTTCAATTAAGGGATTTTTATTTTATCCAGGCAAGTTTGTTTGCCTCAATCTCATGTAGGATCAGGGGCGCTGCTATAGGTTTTGGGCCCCATGAAAGCACATCGTATCGGGCCCCCAACCCAGATCAATGCAAGTATGTTCCAAATTGTTTAGGGTCCTAATCTACCCCCCCACGGCACCCCTGCGTAGGATGTTAACTCGACAGCACTGTTTTTTTAGTGCATGCATAGGTGGGTCAAGTATAATCAAATGAACTGCCCATGCACGTCCTTCTGCATTTTTGCTTTTGTTTTTGTTACACAGATCAAAACAGGTGAATCTTACAGTATTGTGCTGAATTCAAATTTCTAATCAGGATTGACGTATCGAGTAAGGATTTTGATTGACACACAGTTAAACCTTACGCTCTACATGCATTTACAGTACACGTGCATGGTGCAAGTGACTCATCTTAAAGACAGAAGCGTATGATTTTCTGAAAAAATTATGAAGGAGCGAGGACCCTATAAACCAGCTGGTAGTCTTCCTGGGGAAAGCACAGGCAGATGGGGGCACCTTTCACTGCATGCAGTGATGTCCTGCTGGTTCTGCCATAGCTGCCCCTGGTGCTAAAGGAGGGAACTTTACTGGCCTGTTCACTGGCCTTTAATCACCCAGCAGAACCGCTTCCCTCTGGGCGGAGCCTTGGGGCTGTTCGTGGTTCGTGCGCCACCTCGCCTTCAGAAAATAAGAATCTCTTAAACAGCAACAGAAGCACTTACCGGGTACATAAGCAAGCTCTCGATTTGATATTTTAAAAACATTTTCGCCTGCTAAAAAGTGTCCATTTCTTTTATGCATGATAGCCTTTTGTTAGGTGGTGGTATGCAGTGAGATGGCAGCTCATCTAAGTGGACATGAATCATAGCACTCAGTCATATCATAGGATTTTGGGGGGGCGGGTGGGTTTGAGTCACCTCGATATATTTAGATATTCTTCCAACTAACTGGTCCTGGTCCTGATGTTGGCTTCACTGGACAAGAAAATTGTCATTTGGAGAGATTTTCACTGGGAGGGACAGATGGATATAATATCAGTGGTGTGGAAGAGAGCTGAAGATTAAGTCTTCAGCTTCAGGAATAAAGTGCAGCGGCGAAGCTGAGATCGGCTGTAACGCTCCGTCATTCCCTGCGTTCCAGCCTGACATGCCCCAAGCACCCCCCCCACCCCACCCCCCGCTGACAAACTGGGCCGCACCGCATGCCTCCCAGAACCAGTAGCATGGAACTGAGGCCTTATCCTGCCCAGGGCTCCGTCAGAACCAAAACCAGCAAGGACAGAGATGCCCTGCAGTGTGAGCACACTGACTGGCGCTGAGACCCATGTGAGCGCCGTCTGGGAAGCTGTATGCCTGGAAAGATCGTAGGATCTTCTCTCTCAGTACAGTTGCAGAGTGAGCCATTTAAACCTTCTTCATGCAGCCCAGTCATTTAGGCTGGCTTTCCAGATGGTTCTCTGTTTTCTCTACACTCGACGCCAGTTTAGTTTCTGGTGATGAAAGTCCATAAGTGACTGGGCTGCTCTCAGGTTCTACAGAGCCCGGGCTGGATCGTAAGACCCGTTTCCATTATCACCTCCTCCTTATGCCTGCTTTAATCAAGGAGAATCCAGGAATGGATCTGACCGGATACATGTCAGCATGCGACTCTTCTACACCTTGCCTGCTCTGGTGAACCGAAGGACAACAGAAGACGACCACCTAATAATCCAAATACCTCCTCTAACACATCCTGTTTCCCACAACCCATTCTTCCTGCTCTGCACCAGAGTCTCGTTGGCTAGTAAAGCCAAACTGCAGCTATGGATGGCAGCTGAACCAACCCAACTGTCTATCTAGGAGCACGTCTCTTAGATGTACTGTGGGCAAGCAATGTGTATAATGGCATTGTTCCACACTGATGATCGATTCCTCCCAAGAAAAACAATACCCAAAAATAAAAATATATATATAAAGCATCCCACTCATAGCTGTGACCTCTGCTCAACCCAGATTACAGCCTAATCACATGACAGGAAGCATCATCTCAATTCTTCTTGACATATATCATTAGCGGTGCACTGCCTGAGCTAATGAGCTGCGGAAATGTACTTTTCACTTGGTGCCTAACTGAAGATGGTTGAGATGAGGCAACTTGTCTTGATTAGTACCAAACCACTATTGGAAGAATACAGATTTAATTATTCTAATTCCTTGTTCCTTCTTGTACTGGCCTGCTTCATTCCCAGGTTCAGGTGTGGATGACGCAGTGGGAGAAGTATCCATCCACGTGGAGATCTTCACTCACCCCAACACAGGAGAACACAAGGTCACAGTGAAAGGCGAGTCTCTCCCACACGGATTATCTAAGCATTATGCTACCCGAGCATATTCTACATTTAAATTTTACACATTTAGCAGACATCTCTGTCCAGCGAGGCAAATAGCACATTGCCAACATTTGTCCTGTCAAGGAGTCAACTAGGCAATAGTGCATCTAGGCTGAGCTTCCAGCGAAAGCTCAGGTGTGAATGTAAGCAGTTTTGGAGCAGGAGCTACACAACAATTGCACAATAACCATTAATAAATTAAGAACCTAATAAGACTATTCAATGGCCATTAAGTGCGACATATTATATACGTACTACACACTATATAATACATAGTATCGTTGAGTAACTGTTACAAGTGCTAGTGGCATTCTCTGTTCCCTCCTCAGTGGTGGCAGCGAATGATTTGAGGTGGCAGACTTCTGGAATATTCCGGCCCTTCGTGGAGGTCTATATCATCGGGCCGCATCTCAGCGACAAGAAGAGAAAGTTTGCCACCAAATCCAAAAACAACAGCTGGGCTCCGAAATACAGCGAAACCTTCCAATTGTAAGTTTAACGCAAGCGTCGTGTTGGCCCACCGCCGTTTTGTCCTTGATTGCGAGGTAGCTGTCGTTGTAATACCTTTTAGTACTGATTTACAGGGCTCCCCTTTTATGGTACCTTTTTTTGGACTCATTATAATGTATTGAGGTTTCTGTGTTAGATATCACACTGGTAAGTGAACTGCAACCTTCTTCCCCAGCACCCTAAGCAGCGAGGTAGGGCCAGAGTGCTACGAACTGCAGGTGTGCGTGAAGGACTACTGTTTCGCCCGGGAAGACCGCACAGTTGGCATGGCGGTGATGCAGCTGAAGGACATTGTGGCACGGGGAAGCGCCGCCTGCTGGCTGCCCCTGGGAAAGCGGGTCCATATGGACGAGACGGGCCTGACCGTCTTGCGTATCCTGTCACAACGCAACAACGACGACGTGGCCAAGGAGTTCGTCAAGCTCAAGTCCGACCAGCGCTCTGCCGAAGAGGGCAGGGGGAGCTAGGGACTGAGGTGAAGGCGCCCCCTAACTGTGAATATGAGCTCTGCAGCCAACAGCATACTGCCCTCTCTCTTTCCACTCACTTTCCTGTTCCACCTTCCATAAACGGTATCCTAGTGCAAGTGTCTCTTTCATAAAGAAACATGCATTTGATCCAGACCCTACTCTGCTTCGTCGGTTGGTGGCGCCGAAATTCTACCAGTCGCACTTTTCGATTGAGCCAGACGTTCACCTTGAGGTTCCAGTATTTGATGTTGTCAGTCGCCAACTGAGAAAAACGTCAGACTTGCAGAGTAAAATTATATTTAATTGTGTATAAAATATGTTATATTTTTAGCTGATGAAGAAAAATCGACAATATCAAGACGGTAGTGTGTATGAAGCTGAGAAAAGAGCAGCATGCCTCCCACGATGTCCTGTCCTTCTCACGCTCTGATCTCTCTGGTCTCCTCCCTCCTTCAAATTCTCCTCTATCTGCATTGTCTGAGCAGATGAATCCGCACAGGAGGCTCGTGCACGTCCCCGATATTAACGTATCAACATGCTGGGACAGGAAGTCAGGATCGGTGTCCCTTCCTTGCTCCTCAAACCCTCTCAAGCCCATCAGCCACACAATCGCCACTCTGGGCAAAAAAAAAAAAACAAAAAAAAAAAATAAAAAATAAACAAGATATTTGGGGCCACATCAAGGCGAGCTCTACAGACCTTATATTCCTTGGTGTTGCATATGGAATATTCATGAAGTGTCAAAGGGTTAAGGCAATTCCAATTATCATCATTTAAGTGATATTTCACATGAGAAAAAAGAAGATTGCTCCTGAGCTTTATGTGTAGATGTCATGCATTAGTGAGAGTAACTACCTCCATGTGTCTCTACACGTGTCCAGGAGCCCCGTGACATGCTGCCCCATCTTGTCAGCCACCCTTCTCTGTGTATATATGTAGCTCTCCGCATGATGAAAGCGCTTTTCCTCCAGCATGAAATAGACGTGTCCTTGTTGATCGTGGTCGGTGGATGCCAGTAGACCAATGTATCGCCAACAGTGGCCGAGGCCAAGTAAGAGAAGACAGCAGTGTCAGGTGAGAGCCGTATCTGTCTAGACAGTCAGCTTGAGAACCTTGCCAATGGTCTACTACACGGGGACAGTGGCAAATCGATTGCCAAATATTTGCCCGCTGGTTAGCCAGTTACAATCCACTGTAGAGACCTGAAACTGGGCGGCACATCGTAGCAAAGATGCAGTGGGCGTGAAGATGTTGAAGATGTTCACCATTCTGTTTCCAGAAGAACGCGCATTCTCCATTTTCCTGACCCGGTGTATCACCAACGTGGATGGATTGCCACGGCAACAATACCAGGTTGTGTCTGGCAACATTACGGTCCTGCTAACCTATCCTCCTCCCCCCTACCTCTACCCCCTCCGGGAAAGCACAACGACAGTCCCCCGGCATCTGTCTGACTTACGCACGCAGACCGGGCTGCCGGGACAGACGCAAAGGGCTACCCGACCACTTCCCCTCCGAAATCCGCACTGCTTGGCAGCCGAGGCGAGATCCCTAACATACATGGGCTGTGGTGGCATCAGTGTTGCAGAAGACACCAGCCTTTTCCTCGCTACCATTAGAAGAAACTGTCCCAAGCCAAGGTGAGGGTGTAATGAAGACATGCGTCTTCCTTAGGATTTAGGATCAGATAACATTTCAGAATCCCCACATTTGGAGAGGATGGCATCTTCAAGTGAACCTGTTGAGGTAGTCAGTATGTTATCCTGAGTATAGATGTGGTCAACTAAACACACCCTTGACTCAACTGATTCTCTTTGGGTTGAGTATTACGTCCAGTGTAGTCTATACACCCGGCCGAACCTATCGGGAAAGTCTGACACATTTTGCAGGACTCCCATTGGCCGAGTAGTAGCCAGAAGTGCCATTTGTGCCCTGTCCTATGAGTAGCTGTCATTCTGACGCATAACAGTCCATAGGAACTACACAAATTGATCTATCCCCAAAAAGCACTTCGTATCGACGTCTTACGGTGTCTGCCGCGGTTAATTTCGGTGTACCTCTATGCATTCAGTAAAACAACGAAATAGACCCATCCATTCTGATTAGTCTTGAAATGTTTACAGTACAAATTATTAATGTTAGCACAAGTGCTTGATACGCATGTCATGGCAGTGTAAGATATAGCTAACAGGCCTGGTAAGATGGAAAACAACAAATGGAGGCTTCATCTCAACATGAAGAAAAGGAGCATATTAAACATTAATTGCAACAGCTGTTTACTGCTACTAAACAGGACTTAAATGTGACAGTGTAGGTTGTGTTTAGTAGTACTAAATCTTAGGCAATAGCTAAATGGATCTTCTCAGAGGGAAACAGTGATGCATTCCTCTTCTTCATACGACACAAAGAGTTATGCAAATTCACTGTATGGCAGGGATTTGGCCATTAGAGCCACATAATCAGCTGGTTTTGGTTGTAGCTTGTGTGTAAATGCCATTATTTTCATTAAAAGTCAGCTTGCATTTGGTGCCACATGAGTTGGGCAGTAAATATTGTTAAATATTGAGTTGAACAACATCCCTTCAGTGTTGACGTTATTTGTACGGGCGGTACTGCATTAGAAAAATCTCAAAATTAACCTTGTGTAGGAAAAAGCTTTGGAAGCTGTGGCACAATGTTGATGCCATTGACGATTTCGATCGATGCCCAAAACCCAAGGCCTGCAATCAGTCAGCGTGGGTGCTGGAATTAACACGGGCACCCAGGAACCTGCATGCAAGAGTGCATAAACACACCGAAGCACAAAACATCTGAGAGAAACTAACACACAAGCATGCAGACAGGAAAAGTGACGCCCACCTGTAAATAAGGAGTGCATGAAGGGAAACGTCTTCCTTGTGCTGCACGTGTCTTTTTGATGTAACTCGCTGACTATTGTCTTTTTTCATTTTTTTAAATTTTATTTTCAACCTGAGTAATTTAATTTTCAGTTTTTCTATTTTTCGAAGGCTTGTGAATATATAAATATGTATTACTGATGTGTAGTGGTGCAAATACACGCATGAGAGAATTTTTTTATACAGAGATGTTTATAATTTTTTTTATTATTATGATTGTTCTTATTGGGGATAGAGGTGGGGGACTGCAGCATCGCTGTTTCTGCTTCCAATAAAAACTTCCGGAAAGAATGCACTTCTGCAGATTCCAGCGTGGTCCTTTTAATCACAAACGACATGAACTACAGCGCCCAGAATTTATTTGTTCGAAACGCACGGCTTATGTATTTTACCACTCAGTCTTGAGTACTTCTGTGGTTAACTAATTATTCATTGCTGATTATTTATTGATAGAATTATCATGTGGTTGTATTGGTTAAAGCTTTACATAAACTGCACCTTCATAATGCCTTTGTAGAACAAACATTAACAAACATTACATGATTATGAGATTATGATTTTTCTTATATGATTAAAATGTTTGTTATCATATAATGTCTGTTAATGTATATTAACGCTGTTAAAGTAGGTTAGGGTTGTTAAAGTATACTTGCATGTTGCTTATGAATGCATTATGAAGCATTACTTTATAGTGTTTAGTGGTGTTAAGGCCGAAATGCTGTTTCATATATATTATAAATGACATATATTTTAGCATCACATAGAGTTAGCACTGTGGACCACATACTGCTGTGAGGAAAACGTTTGGCTCTTGCATGTTCACGCATGGTTTCCTCATAAGGAACCTGCCTTAGGGCCACTTATTCTGTCGACCCAAGCGACTCCCTAGAATGAGTCACACCTCAGACCCTGCGCAGGAAGGAGATCTTGAGAGAATCTGGGATGGTCAGCTGGTCAGCCCTTAGGAGAGGGGATGGCGAGTGAGGGAAGGTGACGGGGAAGACGCGGCGGACGTCCAGGAGGAGCTGGCGAGTCTGACCGTCGAGCCGCTCCTTCAGAAGGCCCTGAGAATGCAGGAAAAAAGAGGTGATTAGAAACCACGGAACCAAGGGGACGTCAAAGAGCAGAACGACACGGAAGTGCAGAAGCGACAGCACTGACGTGGCAAAAATTAACCGACATCATTACATAATCAGCAAAGAAAATGTCTGTGCTGTCAGTGGCATCGGAGGGAGTTTGAAACGGGGGGGGGCAGGACGAATTTACACCAGCGGGGGGTGCGATGAGTATCATGACATTGCAATGGGCACACGTGCAACAGTACTATCGTGAAAGATTTTAAATTATCAAGATTTCATCATTTAAAATAAGACTAATAAAATAATTCTGTTCAGGGAGCAGTTTCAGAAGGACGGCGGGAGGTCCCCCCCCGATGCCTCTGTGTGCTGTACCTGCACTGTGCGAATGAAATTCAGCGTCACCCTCTCCTCGATGTCGCTGTGAGGGGTGTACAGCATCAGAATCTTCACAATCTGCAAAAATTCATGCCAGCGAGAGTTAAATGTCATTCTCCGGTGGCACTCAAAATTGGCGAAATGAGCGCAAACTCAAACGCCACCTGCTGGCTGGAGAGAGCAGTGCAGGTCTGGACAAGGGCCTGTGCGTCAGCGTCTGATCTTTTGCTAACTTGCAGCAGCTGGACAGCCTGGATCAGAGGCTCCAAGGACGCCATAGCGCCCCCTGTCTGCAGCCCTCTGCTCCGAAGCCATTCCTCCAGGAGGCTCACATTATACCTTGGAAAAAAAAATCAGGAGAATCCGTCAGCTGCAACATCTTATGTCATTTTAAAAGGGATTCCAATAATGACTATAAAATAAATGCATCCATGTAGGACCCTGCCCCGGTCAGCAAACCCCCCACCCGCCGCCATATTTTTTGATGGCTCTATCACCCATCCCACTGTTGTCACCGCAGCTAGGTTGACATCTATGTCAACAGTGAAATCAGTCAGCCGACCAATGGGATACTGGATGTTTCTCGGTACCAAGAACACCAAGATCGTACTCGTGGTCTTGGCAAGACTGGTCTTGCTAACTTGCCTCCCAAGAAAGTACTTAGGGCGCAATGAATCATGGGATTGATGCAAGAGATGTATCCTTGATATATGGGATGGGGCAAGAACGCAAATATGGTCAAGCGCGCATATTGAGAAAGCCCCGATGTTTCCTGGGATTGATGACAAGGGCACTGTGTAGGCGGAGTCAGAGCGACCGGCCCCGCCCACCTGATCTGCATGCCCCGGCTCCAGCAGCACATGTCCTTACGCAGCAGCAGGTTGTTAAAGGCGGTGGCGGCCAGCAGGTGCAGGAGCTGGCGAAAGGCCTGCTCCAGCAGGGCAGGGGGCAGTGCCTGGCGGGACAGCGCCGCATGCAGCGCACCCAGCTCCCGCAGCACCGTCGCCATGGTGATGGGCTCCGCAGTGCCGGGCTTGGCGTCAGACCCTGCCCTCTTGCGGGAGCCGACCGGCTTCCCTCCCGAAGCTGCCAGGCTTGGGATCATCTCACTCTCCAGGATGGCGGACACTGAGGAGGAGGAAGGCGACACGTCAGCCCTAGGCAGGCATTAACACCCATCCGTCCGTCCGTCCGTCCATCCATCCACAGCCGCATGTCGTGTGCAAAGGCATTCATACAATCTGCAAAATTACACCACCATGGCCACTAAAGATACATGGGGTTGCTGTAAACAAATGGAGTATAGTATGGAACAGCATGGTGTTGCCGTAAACAAATGGAGTATAGTATGGAACAGCATGGTGTTGCCGTAAACAAATGGAGTATAGTATGGAACTGCATGGTGTTGCCGTAAACAAATGGAGTATAGTATGAAGCAAAGAAATGGAGTGTAGCACTTTAAAAAGAGGGAAACCGCAGTATAGTCGCTAAACAAAGGACAGTATAGCAGCGGAGGACAAAGACGAGACGCGCACACGGCGCGCCGTCCATCAGAGGCATACCGATCAGGGGCTGCAGTCGGGCCTCGGTGATGGAGAGGAGCTGCTGGTAGGTCTGTATGGACAGGTCACTCAGGAGGCGCTGCTGCTCACTCAGGTCGCAGGTCAGCGGCAGCACGGCTCCGGGGACAGGGCGGCCAGCCTGGGACAAGCAGGAGACTATATTCATACGGCAGCTTGAATGCTCACCGAACAGGCAAGCAAGTTACATAAGTCACATTTAGAGAGACACACATACAGATAATATGCAGATACGCAAAATAAACAGGCATACATACACACATGGAAATATATAAATACATTCATACACTCAGCTAAATATAATGACGTCTACGTACACAGAAATATGTCTATATATATATATATA